GGGAGAAAGTTCAAATATGCGGTTATAAAATAACCCGACGACTACTGTGTCTTTAATTTGATGAAACCTGCCCCCATATACTCTGTTATGAAGACTGAAAGACCTGAAACCTTGAATGAACTCAAGGTTTTTCACTTTTCAGTGAGAAAAAAAGTGGTCTCTAATATGCCCACATGCATCAGCGTCCATGACCATTTTTCATTTATAAGACAGAATAAAAAAAGTGACTTGAACAAAGGGTCCACATTGACAGAGGTCTGGGAAGGTGACTTAAGGGTTGTAGATTTGAACCCCACAGTGATTGAGCCATAAACTCAACATACTACTGACTCTAAACCACTTGTTATTCCAGGTGGTCTATCTCTAAGTTCACTTTGGATGAAAGTCTCAACTACACAATGAATGATAAATCAGCATATTTTCTTGACCATATATTCAGAATTATCTCAAGAACATTCCAAAACCAAATCCCTGACATTTATTGATCTCCACTACACTTTTGACAGTATGACAATGTACGGTACCCTGATTTATTGGGCAAATACAAAACACACTGTATGGTAAATTAAATAACAGCATTGAAAATATTGTAGTACTGTCTATGTTGAAGATCTGGATTGGAAACTTAGGGTTGCAGGTTCAAGCCTCACTCATCCATGAACTATCACCATTCTGCCACTGATAAAGACCCTTCACCACATGTTGACCCAGATGTTATAACTGAAGTCAGTTTGGATTAAATTTGAAACAGACCTTCTTTACCATATTTTCTGAATTATCTCAAGGATGCCTACATTTACTGATGTCCACTACAATTTTTAGCCTAAGTGACAGTACCCTGAACTAATGCACTTGATCTTGAAAGGGCAACTTTACTATAAAATTAAACAGTAGGAGTAGTAATAGTATACTGCATGAAGCATAGAGTGGTGTAGCTTAAAGATCTGGGTTGGTAAGGGTTGCAGGTCCAAACCTGATTGACCAAACTTGTATGACTTTCTTTCCTCTGCGGAACACAAATGAAGATGTTTTAAAAAACGTTTGTAACCGAACAAACATTTGGTTACAATTGACTTCCACCGAATGGACAGAAAACACAAAGACATTTCTCAAGATATCTTCTTGTATGTTCACCTGAAGAAGGAAAGCCACACTGGTTAAGAATGTCATAGGGTGAGTAAAGAACTGTCATTTTTGGGTGAACTAACCACACGTTACACTTTCAGAAAGGTACACAACTCTTGCTTGGACTGTAATACTAACTAACATGTGCTTTTAAAGCACTATTAAATACTATTCAGGGGTAAATAATGTACAAACATGTATCTTTTAGGTTTTGTACATTTGAGTACCGCTGTTACCCTTTTTTTCTGAGAGTGTAATGCAAGTCCTTTTGGATAGAAATCTCAACTAATAAGTAATAAATTAACACTTAGCCGACCTAATTGCTCTGATGAAACATTTCTGCGTGTGTCTGCCTCACCTGCGTCATCATGCGGTCCGCACCTGTGTTCTCCTCATCCTTGAAGATGATGTCTGGATTGTAGTTGGGCGTGAGCTCTTTAAAGCGCTCGGAGTTGCGGGTTATCTTCCCCTCATATCTCCCACTGGCTCCCAGCGTTTTTTCGGCAACGTTTGGACTGAACTGCTTATAGGCGAGAGGCGTGAGTTTCCTTGGAGTCCGTCTCTTGCCGTAACCTCTGCCCGGACCACAGCTGTCGTACGCCGGCGAGAAAGCCAAGATGAAGCCGGTGAGGAGCGCCGCCGCTGTGGAGAGTCTCATGCCAACCGGTGCCAGCGGGCACTCCAAAAGATGGAGTGTCAAAGATGGTGAAGATGATGGTAAAGCGACCCTCCTCCCCCCAATCTCAGCTTCAGTCCCCGCGCAAGATCACCGGAGGGGGAGGAGGACCAGTCTATTAGGACACCTGGCGCTCACCATCGTTTTACGCACGGAAAGACACCCCGACAAACGTAGGGTTCCTCAGGCGGCGAGGCTGGTGCCAGCTCGTCGGTCCTCCCCTCAGGTCTGTAAAACTCGCTTTCTCTCAGTCCAAGCGGAGACAGGGGGAATAAATAGAGAAGTTCCGTTTATTTTGGCAAGCGGGTTTAGAATCGCCTGCAGGCGGGTCCTGGTTGCGCAGAGCCGCGGTCAGAGTGCGCGTCCCGCAGCGGTTTCTGGCTCCCGGCTCGGCTGTTTGACTACTGCGCTGTGGCGCGCAGCTCTCAGTTGAGATGGAAATGGAAGTGACCCGAGCTCAGATGCTACTGAAGCAGCCGCACCCTGCCAGTCCTGCCCTCTGTATGCCTTTGCCCTCCTCCGGGCAGACGCGCTTTATCAGCCCTGCCGCTCTCCCCTTGTACCGCAACCGGCGGCTGCCAAGACACGAGACAAACAGGAGGCGCATTACAGGTCTGGACTCTCGGACCCTGATGTGTCCAGTCCTTTGAACCTTAGCAGCAATGCTCTACTTACTACTGCCTGTCAACGGTACGTCAGCACACGTAGAGTACTTAAACACACACACAGCTATCACTTGGAGACAATGAATCTTTAATATGACTAACTGACAACTTGAGTTTTTATTTTTCAAAGATCGTTAAGTTTTTTTTTTATATTTAAAATTAAATAAATTTGTCATTTTAATGCATTATTAATCCATTAAAATTGTATTAATTTATTTAATGAATAATGCAATTATTATATTAGATCTTCAGTTTATTTCTAATTTTTTTTTGTAATTGTATTCGTATTTATTTCCAATTTTTATTCGTATACTGATTTGGTTAAGGTGGACCATACAATAGTAGTTTGATCATTTGTGACACTTTTTTCGGCTCGGTCATCAGCAAGTGTGACAGTGCAGCATAAACATTTTCTATAAATTCTATAAAAATAATGGATATATTTTTAATCTTTAAATTAATTTCGTACTATTTAAAAAATAGAATTTTAAAATAAAAATGTTTTATTATTATTGATGCTCATTATTAAACCACTAAAACTTTTCATTAATGTTCGTTTCACTTTTTTATTAAAGGTGTTAACTTTTTTATTAATAATGACAATTAATAATTATTAACTGTTTTATTTTTTTATGCATTTACTTTTTATTTACTGCATGTAAACTGGTTTTGTTAAGGTGGACTGTGAGAATAGGACAGTTTGTGGAACACTTGACTAAGGTGGGACAGATCATCAGCAAAAGTGGGACAGTGGTTTAGTGTTTAGATAATACATTTGCTGCAACTGAAACTACAAAAATATTTAACAATTTATTGCTATTTATAAATTACATTTTGTCAAATTAATCATATCCCTACTGAAAAAAAAATCAATCATTTCGGCTTGAGGTGGTCAAGGTGTTTGGAACTTGGTAGATGGTTTGTTACTGGTGCAAAGTGGTCTTGAGGAAGGTCTACCAGGTCATCTGTGGCCACACAAGCTTGAAGTCTTGCTGATCCATCATCTAAATAAGCTTTGACCAGCTGCTGACCATAAATGACCAGCTTGGTGTAGCTAGAAGTCACGTAAAACCAATCACTACAATGTGGCTGTCAGGAAATAGCAAGGCTCTAGTACTGGATGACATGTTTCATTATATGTTAGCTTATAAAAGAGCGGTGATTTATGATCCAAATCCATCAGAACAATTTTAAAAAGTCCCACTTTTCTGAATGACAGATCATTGTGTCAATTATAAACTGACTGTTAACTGCTTATTTACTTCATGTTATTTAAAGGACAACCATGTCCCACCTGGAACAATTATGTCCCACCTCACATGATTTCTGAATCCTTTTTTTTCTTCTTCAGTAAAAATTGGATTCAGTAATAGTGTTCAACAATGTATTCCAGATCGAGACGTGCAGTGATTGGTGGTCAGGTTTAGTTTCACTGACAGACACTGGAGACAAGACGTGAAGTGCCGTCCCTCCCAGGAACTCTAATGTCTTTAAAATAACACTAATGGCTTCTCCACTGAAGACGAATCACCAGTTAAATGCCAGAACTATTACCAAATGATACTGGTAGGAAAATTATGACAGTTCTGTGTCTCCTTCAGTGGCGCAGACATTTTTTCTGGTCCGCTGTGACCACACTGTTGACATCTTGAAGATGTTACTGGTATTGCTGAATACATTTTAATTAGAGTGTTTTGGCCAGGCATCAGAAAATAATCTGTGGACAGCAAAAATACTACAGTAAAAAGGGATTACCCAGATCCTTCTATCAGTCTACAACTAGATTTAAAGCATCGTGCATTTCATATTTAATTCAGTAGGTTTTAGAGTAGTTTCACAGAGTCAGACTGTTGACTATTGGCATGCCGTCTGGTCCACTTTAAAGCTTACTCTAGGCTGAATTAGATGAGGAGGCATCTCGCTAACAGGTCAAACAATTAACCACAATTCACTTTTTATGTTATGTTTAGAGATGGATAAATCAACAATACTAGGATAATAGAACGACGTGAAACAAAGTGGTAGCTTATTCTAACAAAGGCAAAGCCAAAACCAAAGAAATTAGTGGAATATGTCTGTTGGGTTTGTGGTCAGAATTTCCGTCCATTCAAAAGTCCTGATGATTTTACGGAATATGAAGCGGAACGTACATTTGTGCTCAAGCATATCACATTTACTTGCTAGCAAGGGCCTCAAACTAAACTCTAGACATCTACTGCCACAAACTTTTGTCTTGCCTTCTTTCTTAGAAGCACTGGTTGTAGCAGTCCGTACCCTGTAAAACACAGTTATCCTCCCAACAGACTAATAGAAACCTGTGCATCTTGACTTCTAAACATTGCGTAAAAGTAGACGCTCAGATTTGAAATTGCAACTCATCTTATGCATACTCTGAGCATCTGTAATTTTTTCACATGCTGCCAGTTGGGGTGCATCAACCCTACCAATGAGAACAATGCAATATTTTATTCATTACTTTTAAAACATTAAGATGGGCATACAGACTAAAATACAATAATAAAATGTCCATCATCACTTAAAAATCAAACCTAAAAAGAATAAAAATGTTTATAAAGCATTCAGAAGATAAAAGGGTCCATATGTGCACTATTCTGATTCAGAAGCATGAACTGTCACCGAAAAAGCCCCACTGCTTTCTTCTTCTTCGGCTGTGAGGTGGAACGGTCCTCAGAACCAGCAGCAGCAGTTGATGGTGATGGGACAGCCTGAAAGAATCATTCAGAATTGGTTTGAATTCTCTCAAAGGAATAATCTGGGTCCAAAACCATTGATAATTTAAACTTTAATCTTTAGCATTTCTGTTAATTGCCACAGAAAATGATTTTGACTCATAGCTCGATTTATATCTGCAAGTCATATAATGGTTGCCCCATAGACTTCCATTGTAGGTGCATTTTTGTACATGTTTTGTTGAGCTTAATTTATATTCGACCCAGAATATTACTTTAATCACATCAAGGTGAGTAACATTTTGTAGCCTGTTTAGATGCATGTTTAAATAGTTCTTTTGTTGAACTTGCAAAAACAAATAGAGGTCAAACTCAACCAGCCTAAAGGCTCATCAACGATCAACATTGGGTTCATGGCATGACAGTCCTCTGATAGAATCAATCAAATATTTCATTTGTTAAATTAAAAGAAAAACTAAAAAACAAACCTGTTTACTGTCTGCCACCTGAGGTCTTCCTGATGATGCTTTGACATCATTCTGTTCTTGAGAAGCCAGTGAAGAACCCACATCTGCACAGCACAGCAGACAAGACAAGCAATGCTCAAAAATGACAAATGTCATCATTAAGTCACACTCATGTTGTTCCAAACCCATATAACTTTAATGTATCAGTGGAACACAAAAGGAGACAAAAAGGCACCATAAGAGTGTTCCATACAAATCCCGAAGCTATACAATAGCTTTGTATGCATAGCCATAATTTAAGACATTTCTATGCATGTGTTCACATGTGGTGCCTTTATATGCGTTTGATGCCCATAATGTTTGGTTATGACACACAGCAACAGCCAATGATGTTTGATAAGACCAATGTCAAACCTGGCCGTATACAGGTGCAATACAGTGTAACAACACCCGTTCCCTCGCTCATTCTATGGAAAAGAGCGCAGCCAGGACATTCTGCAAAACATTTCCTTTTGTGTTCCCCAGACATACAGGTTTGGAATGACTCCTTTAACTCGTGTAGTAAGCTCAGAGTCAGTGAGGCAGTAACCTGTGGGGACATCAGTGATGTGTTGGTGATGTTCAGAGACGTGGTTGTCTTCTGCCGCAGGGTTGCTGTCAGGAGAGTGTTTGCGTTTCTGACCTGTTTTCCCCAAGCTCACGGCCATATACAGTGCCTGCAACTCTGAGTCAAAACCCAAACTGTCCAGCGTCACACCCATCTGTGGAACAATCTAGTAGACAGAAAAGAGAAAATGACCACACCATAAAGAAAGAGGAGACATTTAATTACTTATTAGTCTCCATAGAGGAACTGTCTTGGACTATTACTTTTCTGAGTGCCATTTCTTCAGAAGGAAAATTTTTTAAATGGAAAAATTGCTCTTGTAATATTATATTTTTGGGTATATATGTATGGGTAATGGGTATGTGATGGCAAATATGAATTTTCAGCATCATTACTCCAGTTTTCAGTGTCACATGATCCTTCAGAAATCATTCTAATATTCCGTGCAACATAAGATGAAGATTCCAGTCCTATCAATTCCCTGATAGAATCTTTTCTCTATGTAAGTGTGGCCACCATGTTGTTAAGATCACACGACCAGTCAAACACTAATCACTTTATCTCCATAACCCCCCCTATTATCTGACACTTTAAGCTGCAGAATAAATGAATCATAGTTATGCCTGAGAACAGGCTGTTTCTACAGTGCCACTGGTAACCAGAAACATTTTCAATGCATGATGCTGCATCCACATTGATAGGTGTCAGTATAAAGTACACTGAAAAAAAAAAAAGAGAAGAAAGTACATAGAATTCAAATTAAATTTAGCCTGAATAAAATGAAAGCCATTTTAAAACAAAACCATGTGTATGCATTATGACAATTTAGAATTTGGGAGTGAAATGTTCTTAATGGTAACAAAAAATGCAACTACAAAGAAGTCTTAATGGTAAAGGTTGGGTGACCGCAAGTTCAACAGGGTAACGGTAAAGATGACTGCATTCACACATTTCCCAAACACATTCTCTTTCACAACAGAGAGGACAGATTCTCAAAATTAGCTTGCCAAATATTGACCTGGTGAGATTGGTGACCACTGGATGAATGAAGGGCCCCTAAATATACGTGTAGACATTTGGGGTTTACATTGATTTATTTTTATTATTTGTTTGTTGAAATATCACAAAAATAAATGAATGCTTTGAGTTCCTCTTTGGGGACAGAGAGGGCAATGTGAGGATAGAAGCCACAGTTCATGAGTGTGCACTTCCTGTCTCCCCTCAAATCATTTCTCCACTCCCGATCCTTTCATTTTTTTCATCTTCTTGTCATATCATTTGAGCAATTAAGTTGTTCTGCTGAAAACGTGTGAGATTTAAAACTGAAATTGATTATATGTGCGCTGTACAATCACACTAGAACCAGGTCAGATGATCATGCACCATCATCTGTGTGCATCAGAGAGGGAAGTGTCAGGAAAAGCGGTTCATGTGTTAGTGCATCATGTTGATACACCTATTCATAGCAGGTAAACAGCATTGGCTGGTTTTTAGTGGTTTGTGGAAGAACCCTAAACTAATGGAAGATTCCAGAGAGCGTCCTGATTCTTGTTCTGAGTTCTACACTTTGTTGGTGAAGGGCAAGTATATACTTCTGAGTGTGCAGTAAGATATTGAGACACACTACCAAAATTGTGACTAATTCATTAACTTTGAAACTCAAAATTACTTATCCTGTAGATTCATACATTGAATGCATTTTGTGGTAGTATCTATTACTATTATTGCAATCTCAAATATGCGTATATAAATGTTATAATATATATACATATACAAATTTGGTTGGTACACCCTACAAAGCTAGTGCCCAAAGACAAATCAGAGACATTTGATTTTGACATCATAGCAGCATAATTCTTTGTGAAAATTCATTACAATTATTAATATTGTGAAATATTATTACAATTTAAAATAACTGTTTCTATTTGAATATATTTTAGATTACATTTAATTAAAAAATAATAATAATTTATTCCTATGATGGTAAAACAAAAGTTTCAGTGTTTTTGTACATTCTAAATATCTCTGGTGCTTTGGATCAATTTAATGCATCCTTGCTGAATAAAAGAATTATTAAAAAAAAATAAATAAATAAATCTTAATTTTCTGCAAAGTTGCTATCTATACAGATCAATTTTTATTATTTTTAATTTAGTGGTGAAATATGACCCAGACCTATCTTTAACAGATTTCATGATTCAGATTTAGATTGTTATTGCAAATAAAAGTTAACATAAAAAACCCACATTGCCAGCCCCAAAATCACTAACAATAAATATGAATAAACTGCATGTTTTCTTTTATTACCTGAATTGAAACCAAGTACACACACACACACACACACAAGCTTTTGTACCCATGGGGACCTCAATTTAAGTCCCCACCATGACACGAGTCCCCATGAGTCTGTGTGTATTCAGGTTTAAGTCCCCACCAGGATATATAAACCTGCACACACACACACACACACACACACACTATCTATAGGGAAACAAATAAAGGCAGGTGAAGTCTTAAATGGGTGTCATGGATTAAACCCAGAGAAGAGCTTCATTTTACAGTCCTCTATAAATCTGTCCTCACTCTCATTCAGGCAAACCCCCTCCTAAAAATATCTATTACCTCTTCCTCTCAGTTCAGCCTCTGTCTCACACTCCCTAGATTTCTTTATTAGTGGTGCGTACTAAGACAAACATCACATTATTATCATACTGAGGGTTAGGGATTTAAACAAACCTTAGAACAAATTATGTGGCCTGTTGAGGAGAGCTGTGTTTACTTTTCTACTTGACTGGACAATTTTTGCAGCAATAAAACAGGTAAAACCTCCCATAGATGTACAGTGAAGGAGGGACTGAGCCATGTTTTTGTCTTGGGCAAAACTTCTGCACAAGCAAACACCACTATTGCTTTAGAAAGCATAACAATGTAGTTGTTATCTCATGTTGCTATCTATTTTTACATTTTGTACAATGTTTCCATTCCATCTATTACATTTACGAGAGAGACTGGTGTTTGACGGGATCTTACTCTTGTTCTGGCTGGCAGGGCAGCTCTTCTCAGGGGTTCAAAGTAGGCAGAGTAAACCGCAGCCCAGCTACAGCTAGCTAATTACAGATCAGAGCTCCCTCACCCTGTGGAAACCTGGACCAGAGAGAGAAGGAATAACAGAAAGAGAGACATCTGACCTCGAGAAGCGGTCCTGAATGGGTTTCATGGTTATCAGATTGGGGTGATTATAAAAGCCAGGAGCCAAGAGCTTCAGTTACAGGAAGATGTCTTGAGCTTTAGCTGGAATTAAGGCATGGACACCTGACAGATCCTGGTGTCTAACAATAAAACACACACTCACAGTGTTACGGGGGATGTGTTTTCTCCTACTTTACCCCCTGAATTTTACTTTAGAAAGCTGAATTTTCAGCATCGTTCCTCTAGTCTTCAGTGTCACATGATTTTTCACTAATCATTCTGATATGTTATTTGCTGCTCAAGAAACAGTACTGCTTAATATTTTTGCGGCAGCGTTTATTTGAAATATTTGGTAACATTATAAATGTCTTTAATGTCACTTTTGATTAATTTAATGCATCCTTGCTGAATAAAAGTATTCATTTTTTAAATCTTACTGACACCAAACCTTTGAATGGTAGTGTAAATAGGTAGAAAGATAGATACTAAACCCCTCCCACATTTGCATACTGTTTAACAGTTTTGATTTTTTTTCCTCTTCTAAGATCACCAAAAGTGATCTAAGAAAACATACATACTATGATATTAAGAAATGTCTTGAGAAGACAATGAAAAAGCTATTTCTGTTTGGGGCAACAGCACACATCTTTGTCACAAAAAGCCTAAATTCCTCATTCTTGTGTTGTTTATCCTGCAGTTTCACTCAGTATGGGTGATGTTGCTCATGTGGCAAGAAGGAAAATCCAGGAGAAGAGAGTATGAAGATACACACATCAACCCCCTTATAAGTACTGGCGCATTGTAAAAACTTATTTTTATTTAAAAATTATTTTGTAAATAAAACAAAGATTGAATACTGCTAAAATACTATTTTACTTGACAGAAGATAAAAGCAAGGTGAACAAATATCACCATTTTAGTTTGAAAGGAAGACCTGAGCCTTATCTAGAGACTAGAGGTCAGCTCTTTTGACTCAGGTCAGTAGCAACAAATTCAGCAAGGGTGCATTAAATTTATTAATAGTGACAGTAAATACATTTATAATGTGACATTAGACTTTTATTTCAAATAAATGCTGTTCTTTTGAACTTTCTGTTTGTCAAAAAATCCTGAAATAAATACCAGTTTCAACAAAAAATATTAAGCAGCAGAACTGTTTTCAACAATAATAAAAATAAATGTTTCTTGAGCACAAAATCATCATATTAGAATGATTTCTGAAGGATCATGTGACATTGGATACTGGAGTAATGATGCTGAAAACTCAGCTTTGCATCACAGGAATAATTTACATTTTAAAATATATATAAATATAAAGGACAGTTTTTTTAAAATGCAGTAATATTTCACAATATTACTGTTTTTACTGTTGTTTTGATCAAATAAATGCAGAACATAAGAATCTCTAAACTCTCGAACTAAATTTGCCCATTGTTTATAGTAATAACTTGGACTAAAACCATGTGAAGAAAGACATCTAAATGTATATATGTCTCAGATAGAGAGGATGGTTTGGGGTGTTTTTGCTGGTCTTTCGGTGTGGAGGTGGGAAGGGTCACGCCGTCAGTGCCAAACCCAAACTGGTTTCTCAACTCACCCGGTCAAATTTTCTCTTTTTATGCCTCAAACCTTAAAAAACCAACAGTTTGCGTCACTGAAACACATTCACACCTAAATACATTCAACCCCAAAAGACCTGCAAAGAGGACGGCATGCACACTAATACTGACCCTAAATCAAGTCTTTGTGTTAATCAAGCTAAGTACACACACCCACTCAAAACACAAAGTAAACGTTCACACTCTCCTCTCCCCTCACAAAACCTGAGCATGCGTCACCGGTCTGGGGTAGACATTCTCAGTCTTTCAAACTCAACTTTACGAACTCATGGGAACATGTCTTCTCTTAAGTTTTGACCGGTTAAAGACAGCACTTCAAACAGGCCTATCCATCTATCCATCAAACACACTCTCATCC